ACATTTCCCTAAACCTAACCAAATAACCAACCAACTCTGAGAACCATTGGACTATTGAACACATTATTGGTCTTAATAACTTTGTGAACTTTGTGGAGATCTTGCATTTCTGATAACTTACTGTATCGTTGAGTCAGTTTTATTCAGAGGAAGTGAAGCCATCTTGTTTTTATTCAAAGTTTGTAACAGCGCTCTCTCATTACTCAGAATCAAATCATTTTTAGCCCGTAGTAAATATTAATATCACCATGTCCTGCTATTTTTTTTTCTGAATATTCCAGTTTATCTATCACCACACCTGCATTGTTTTTGTCTGCTGGCAGCGTGATCATGTTAATGTCACTAGACCGAATTCTAAGAAACATACTTTTCTCTCTTCTGATTTGTTCTTTGAAAAGCCTGACTTTCTCTAGGGCTTTTCTCATTTTCCATCGCAATCTGTTTGTACCTCAAGGACCTTCAAAACTCTACATTAATATGTGTATATCTTAAGTTAGTATTTATCGAGTGAAACTCATAGTTGGCGATTTGTTCAGTGTTAGGAACTTTTTTTGAGTAACAACAACAGCCATAAAAAACATCAGTTTGAACGATTAGATGTACATGGTGGATAACAGTCGCCTGAAATCAGCCATGATGTATCAGTGACGGAAATGTTCCGGAGAATCTTCGGTTAATAAAAGATGAGACAATTAATTCGAATATATTAGTATAATATTTTTGCGTTCAACCAAATTTTGACTCTCATCCAAATGAAGCCACTGTCATATTTTTCAGAGACTGAACCTATAGAATTTTTATCTTGATAAATAATTCTGGCATTTCCAATGTTAGGGAATTATTGCTCGTATGAGAAATATCGAATTAAATACTGGTTTAAAAAAAAAAGAATTAGCATAAAGTAACAAATATATCTTAATATGATGAAGTTAAAATCGAACCATGAACATTGAACCTTTTTGCCAATGGAATGTCAAGAAATTTTAATGCAACATTGTCACACAAATATCAAAAGACGAATGAGGATATTAGCTGGAATGGGTTCAGGAATAATAACGATATCTCATGATGTAAAAATTGAATGACAATGGAAGTGTCAAAACTGATAAATGAAGCCGGTTATAAGATCAAAAAGCTATCTAGAAAAGAATTTTACTTAAATATCTTAATTTGGTCAGCGAGAGAGATTACTGTAAAACACATACACACAAATAAACAAACACAAACGCACAAACACACAGAAACACACAGACAAGCACACGTAAACACAAACACACACAAACACAAACGCACAAACACAGAGAAACACACACACAAGCACACAAAAACACACACAAACACACACACAAGCATGCGCAAAAACACACACACAAACACATACACAAATACATAGAAACACAAACACAGAAACACACACACACAGAAACACACACAAACACACACACGCAGAGAAACACACAGAAACACATACACAGAAACACACCAAAACACACAAGCACACACACACAGAAACACACACACAAACATACACCAACACACACGCACAAATACGCACACGACCACACACACAAACAAACACATACACAAACACACTCACAAACACAAATACACACATACAGAAACACACACACACATACAGAAACACACACACACACAGAAATACACACAAACTCACACACAAACACAAACACACACACAGAGAAACACACACGCGCAAAGACGCACACAAACACATACGCACAAACACGCACACACAAACAGATACACAAAAACACAGAAGCATATGCACATAAACACACGCGCACAGAAACACACACACGAAAACACAGAAGGACACGCACAGAAACACACACACACACACACACACAGAGAAACATACACACAAGTGAAAAGAAAGTTAAGAATTAGAGTTGTCCCTAAACAAATATTCTAGATATGAAATATTAGATAAGAATAATCAGATTGTTTGATTTTAGTTGTCAGTTTAGGAGAAATGAGAATGAATGTCTTTTTCCATTTCTGGAAATATTTGCATTTGGTTATTTCACAACGGAAAAGAAGCTGCGTCTTTATGCTTAGAAACTTGAACTTTTGATAAGTGTTCGTTTCAGAAGATGAACAATTGACAATAAAACTTTGTTTGAAATTCCAAATTGAAAGTAAAATCTAAGCAAACAATAGCTTTAAAGACGTGGATATTGTGCTGTCTTTGGACAGATATACTCATTAGCAGCAGCAGCAGCAGCAGCAGCGAGGTTAATAAGTTCGCTCACCTGGTGGCGTAGAGTAATATCACCCGTGTATCTGTATGTTTGAGTTCTTTCAAATTCTTCGTGATTGACACTAACGACGTATTGCGTATGGTTAACTCTGTGACGAGGCGAAACCTGAAAGAAACAGAAAAAGAACAAAAAAACGGATTTAATCAGATCAGAATCACTACGATGCTCATAAAATTTGACATGAAATGAATCACGACTTCGAAATAAACAATATTAAATATATTAATCAATAAATAATAGACTGAAATAAGTAAGGACAATTATTCAAAGTAGAATTGTAATGGTATCGTTGTAAATACTAATAAATATAAAAGACTAAATGTTTCATACGTAAAATTATTGATTATTCATATCTAAACTTCGTCAATTAATATCGGTGTGAGTGTGTGTGGTTTTGGGGACTTTCTTCAAACGTTTATCTTCCTGGGAGGATGTCAGAGACGCTCGCTTTTCAATCCCGAATGGGGCGCTTATATAACTTCATGTCTTCTGTTTTTATTTCTCACGTGTGCACATCCAAAATTCAGATGGGTCGACACTTGTATGCATCTCGAGAGCAGTCAGTGACATCCTATGAGGCAGAGGTTTCGGCCTTGTGCCACATCTAAGCTATGCTTGGAAAATCACTATAAGGCAGAGGTAGGCCATCTACGGCACGCGTGCCACACGTGGTGCACCAAGCAATTTCCAATGGCACGCAACCGGAAATGACATCACGAAGTCCGAACCAATAACTACTACAATGCAAAGAAGATATTTAGCCGTTTCAAAACTGCTTATTCTTTGGATTCTTATTATTAATAAAAACTTTAAAAAAAAAGTTTATTTCTATTAATGTGGTTTACATATTATTGTATATGTTACTATATAAAATATATTGTAGAACAGATATATTGACCTTTACTTGTATAAAATTGCTGTTGGCACAGAATGATTTTAAAACCCTAAGGAACATAGTTAGCAAAAGGTTGCCAACTTCTGCCTTAGACCTTAAGGAAAACAGTCCTTTCTCAGGCCCTATAGACTGGCGCTACATAACAGCAGCAGCAACTAATTTCCAATGGCACACGGTCGCAAATGACATCACCAAATTCCAAACCAATAACTACTACAACGCAAAGAAGATATTTGCTTATTTCAATTTTAATATATACTAAAGTATATATACTAAATATTACTATATAAAATATATTGTAGAACAGATATATTGATCTTGACTTATTATTATAAAAATGCATATGCTGTTGGTACACTGAATCCTTTTAAAACATAGACAGCAAAAGGTTGCCGACCCCGGCACATAGTCAAGCAAAAGGTTTCCGATCCCGGCATATAGCAAAAGACTGCCGACCCCGGTGCATAATCAGCAAAAGGTTGCCGACCCCTGCTATAAGGTACAAATCTGTAGCTGACGGCTACGAGGTTGCCCTTCTAGATGAAATCTCAGATAGTTTGGTGCAAAGTTGACTTTCTTATCTACTAGAGTGAAGCCAGTTCATATTGGAGTCGCCACAGATCTCTTCTTAGAACGAAAAGTCCTTGTTGATATAAAATTCGATTCAAATAGCTGTTTATGTAAATTCCTTTATACCCTTCACGTGATCTATTAGATAATAATTAGTGAGTCTTTCAAACAATTGTGAATATCATTATCACCGATTGTTTCGCAATTGTAGTTTTGCAGCAAAACTAAACTACTTTTAGTAAATAGAAGGTGACTCTGTGCCGCGTGGAATTTATTAATATATATATGAAATATATTAATCAATAATTAATAGACTGAAATAAGTAAGGACAATTATTCAAAGTAGAATTGTAATGGTATCGTTGTAAATGCTAATAAGTATAAAAAACTAGATGTTTCAGACGTAAAATTGTTGTTTATTCACTTCTGAACTTCATCAATTAATATCGGTGTGAGAGTGTGTGGTTTTGGGGACTTTCTTCGAACGTTGATCTTCTCGGGGGAATGTCAGAGACTCTCGCTTTTCAATCCCGGGTAGGGTGCTTATATAACTTGTTGATTATTCACTTCTGAACTTCGTCCAAAATTTCTGGTTGATATAAAATTCGATTCAAACCGTTACATTATTGTTTATGTATATTATTTTATACCCTTTACGTGACTTATTACATAATAATTAACTAGTTAGTCTTGCAAACATTTGTGAATATCATTATCGCTGGTTGTTTCGCATTTTAGCTTTGCGGCAAAACTAAACTACTTTTAGTGAATAAAGGGTGACTCTGTGCCGCGTGGAATTTACCCGAATTGTCTAACAACGAATGTTTCCTAATTATCGCTAAATTTCGTCATTGGCAAAAACTAACAAAAAAACAAGGCCCATAAAATATCTCTTTCTGTTCTTTCTCACTTTTTACTTGCAGGATTCCATAAGACGTCTCTCATTTCTGCATTGGGGGGGGGACTTTTTAACTGCCACTGATCACGTGTCCGAATCGTGTACTACACATCATGCAAATGACCTAAGCTGATAACTCTACAAGAAAAGCTTATCCAATATGAATACCTCAACTACTTCAATGGGAATTTACAGACACTGTACGTATGAAGAAGAAGAACTCAATATTCATGCTATCATTCCGTTATTCAATATGCATTTTCTGTTTAGTTTGCTAAAGAATTAAAATGTTAAAGGTACAATATGTTTGTAAATTAATTCCTATAGCCTTCGTCTACAACAACATCACTATACT